GATTTTAGACATAACTGATTTAAAATCGATTAATGTAATGGAAGCCTGGAAGACATTTTCAATCAAGAACCGAATCGACATCTTTGTCACTGAAAGAACTGAAAGCATCAACGTTAAATGCATGTTAGAAGAAGATATGTCCCTTTTCAGTTGAAATAGAAAACTTGCGTGAATCATCAGAAAATGAAATTGGTGACATATGAGAACTTGCTAAATCAATCGGAAGCAAGGATTTTGTGAACATGGCTATTGAAGATGGTCAAATTTATTAGCGGAAGAAGAAATTGACGAAGATTTGATAGAAATGGCATCCGAAGCTGTAAATCAAATCGATTCTGAGGACATTACTACTGGTGAACATTGTCAAGTTAATAATTTAACATTAGAAAAATTAAAAGAAGGCCTACATATACATTTTTAATGAAAATTATCTTTTTTATGTATAATTAAAAAAATATTTGTTTTTAATAAGTTTTCAGAACGTAACCCCCCTTTTTATACTGCCTCTGGGTCTCATACAACACGGTTTCACACAACACATTATATTTTAGGAACCTATCTACCATGTTATATGAGGGTTACTTGTATACTATAACTGAAACTGTTAAACTATTTGAGACAGTGAAAAGACTTGTAAAGCATGAGTTAAGTAACTATGATAATAATTAAAGCTCACATTTAATAACATTTGAACTTGAATTTAAAAAAAAAGATATTTATTAATATAATCACATCAATATGCAGTTGTTTCACTAGCTTTCAGCCTTTGATTTTTCCTTACATCTTTCAATCTAATGGATGTATACAGAAAAAAAAAAAAAGGGGGGGGGACAGTTCTATATCTCTCATTCTGCTGGGCTGATTGATGAAATTCAAATTGCATTTTTTATGTCGTGAAAGTGCAACTTAAGGTATCTATTAGATTGATATATAGCATTGTTTTAATATTGGTATTTTGACGCAAAATCGGACTTTTCTCAAATGACATGCCAGTTTTTTCCATATTTCAATTCTACGACTCAAATTATGCCTAGTTATTAAATTTTGTAAAATTTGGTGAGAAATTTATGAAGAAATTCAAAAATATATCTTGGCACAATTTTTCCAGTTTGCGCCAAGAATAATTCACTCGGCGAACTTTTTAATATATAGCAACCTATTTTTCTTACCTTTTCATTATGCTGGAGCGGATTTTTTCCTTGCAGGCTACATCTCCACCTTTTCACGTTTCTTTTTTTTTCCTATCTTTACATTGTAGATGAGCAGAAAAAAAGTCACATCGTTCTTACTTTCAAATAATTTTAACAAAGTGCATAAACCACATTTTCGTTACTGTCACTTTCAACAAATATGCCAAATTTCAAAATGCGCCAATATATAAATTCACGTATATCTTTGAAAATTTTGTCTTAAAAGCTCTAATTTTTTGCAGATATGCTTAAAATACATCTACTTTAAGATGATTGTAAAACTTTTATAGGTTATAACTCAAAATTTTTTTGAAAAATTTAGAAAAGTTATTTAAAAATATAAATCTTAAAAAATGGGCGAATTTTATTTGGAATGAACCTAAATTTCCAACTGTGTAAGAAAGAATCAAATAAGTTTAATAAAAAAAGAGATATTAATTGAATTAACATCATACCAAATTGAATTAACATTGAGGAGCTAAAATTTTGAGAGCTAATTTTTTAAAAGTACTTGTGTGATTTTTACAAAACTTTGTATTTTGGTGTAATTGAGTCATAGAATCTAAATGTGGAAAAAAAAATTGGCATGTCATTTCAGAAAAAGTCCGATTTTGTGTCAAAATACCTATATTAGAACAATGCTATATATAAATCTAATACATATCCTAAGTCGCACTTTCGAGGCATGAAAAACGCAGGGTGAATTTTGTCAATCAGCCGAGAGAATAGAAGGTATAGAACTGTCCCCTCTTCTTCTTTTTTTTTTTTTTTTTTTGTGCAGTGTTTTTTAATGAAATTTAACATGATGTACATTGCTATGTGAGAAACATGTTGATCTTAGAGTTCCTTGAAATAATTTTTTTCCCTCTGTTGGTCAAACTTTGAAATTTCTTTTCTTGAATCCTTCACCTCCCTACCAATTCATTGAAGGTTGGTAAAAAAAATGTGCATATATTTAAAACTTTAATTTGTATACTATAACTGAAGCCGCATGTATATAAAACTTTGAACATTATAATTGAAACTGTATCAATGTATTTAAAATATTTGAAACACTGAAAAGATTTGTAAAGTGTGAGTTAAGTAACTATGATAATAATTAAAGCTTACCTTTAAAAACATTTGAATCTTGAACTTGAAGATATTTTTTAAAAAAACTATATCTCTACCTATAATAAAAGAAAGAGTCTGTGTGTCTTTCGTTCGCGCTGAGCGTAAGCTAATAGACCCACGGCTACGAAATTTGGTACATAGGTGCATCTAGACAAGAGCCAGTGCACCTGGAAGCGATTTTTTTTTAAATTTGAATTAAAATTTTTTTTATGTTTTGTGACAAAATCGCGTCATTTTGAGACACAATGGGCTATAGGAAAGCGAGATTTTACTCTACACACTCCATTTTCACATCGTCATGAAACGTAGGCACTTAGCTATTTTATGAACTTAAAATAAATTTTGTGTTTCAATAAATCGATTTAATACGAATTTATTTAACAAAGTGAGCTTAACACCTTTTCAATGGGATTTTTTCTAAAAAGGTTTATTTTTAAAAATGTATAGTTTATTTTTATTTGATTTTTGGACACATTAAACTTTCATCCTTGCGACTGCTTTTGCAAAAAGAATTTTGGAATGATAATATTTTGTATTTTTAAAAAATGTTTTAAATGAAGCTTCCAAGTACACTTCTCACATCTCACATCTTTAGAAATGTGATTTTGGCAACAATTTTCCTTTCTTATTGTTGTTGATAGATTCTTGATGAAATCGCATCATTTTGAATAGTTTCATTCTTTTAGAAGTATGGGTTTGGCAACGATTTTTCATCGTATTTCTTATGTCACTGTTTTTAAGAGATTGGCATATTTCATTGTCATTTTTTTTATATGTAATGCATTTTTATTGATTTTTTTTTTTTTTCCCATAAAGTTGTTCTGCAGAGAATTCTGCACGGAATTTTTTTGTTGAGTTTCATGTTTTTTTTTCTTATTTCACTATTTGTAAGATATTGAAAAGTTTTGCATGATTTTTTTTCTTCAACGGAAAGTTGGTCAATTTTTTTTTTAGGATAATTAATGTTTGTATTAAGGGATATTATTTCATTGTAATTCTTTCTCTTGAAAATATAAGATAAAATATCATTAATTATACTTTGCTTTTCAGAATGTTTTGTTTTTTGTATTTTTTTAATGTTATTTATTGATCATTTCACTGTCTTTAAGATATTGAAAAGTTTTGAGTGATTTTTTTAGGAAACAAAGTTCTTAACCTCCTTTATACCATTTGAGTTCTTAAGATTTTGCAAAGGGAAGTTGGTTAATTTATTTATTAGGATAATTAATATTTGTATTGAGGGATATTGCTTATTTCATTGTAATTTTTTTTATACGTAATAACTTATTTTTATGAAGTTGTTCTGCAGAGTAAAATTCTACGCAGTTTTGAAATTTAACGTTTGGTGTTCCCTTCAGTCATTTTTCCGGTACATTTAAAAGCCAGACAAAGGCTGGCAGCGAAAGCTGCTAGTTTATTAATATAGTTACATCATCAGTACACAGTTGTTTCACTTGTTGTTTTAGCCCTTAATTTTTTCCTTACATCTTTCAGTCTAATTAATGTATTGTAATGAAATTTAACATGGATGTACCTTGTTGTGTGAGAAATATGTTAATCTTTTAGAAAGAGTTTTACGTAATTAATAAAAACATCAGGGCATGTCTGTACATGCATGTTGATATTATTTAAGTTGTTCACCTACGTGCTGGGTGTCAGAGCCTTAAATTTTCCACTGAATGATTTCTTGCATTTCTGTGACAGTTCATGATTTGTTATGCTAAATTTACACTTTTAGTCAGAGGACTTTATCCATGATGACCTTGATGGCTGAAGTTCCTTTGGAATTGTTTGATTCTCAAGAAAGTAATTTCATCCTTAGTAACATGGGAATCATTCCAGGTAAGACCATTCTGCTGAAAACTAAAAGTAGACCATTTATTTGAGTTCCTCATCTAACTGATATACAAAATTGTAGATGATATGCACTTTTATGCTGATGAAATTGGGGCCTTAGTATTTCAGTACAACAGAACACATCTTATATTTTGCATCATAAAGAAATGTCTTAATTGTGATGCCTTACTTATTATTCTCACTAGTGTGTGTATGGATATTCTGAGAATCTAAAGGCTAACTTAAGTTGGACCACACTTGATTGTCTTATTGGCTTATCTCAATAGAAGTTGTGAAGTTTGTCATATTAAACTGAGGGAAGATTCCCGAGTAAAATTAAGAAATAGAAAATATTAAGAAAATCACCATACTGGTTCTAAGAAGGTAATTTGGCTTTATGAAGGAGCATATCTATTTATTCAGCTGATATACAAATTCATGGACAATTTAAAGGTTGCAGTATCTGTTTTTAAATTGCGGAAGACCACACCTCGATTTTTGCTTGAGAAATTCTTTCATGCATTAGATAATAATTGTGATTAGTGCAAGTATGGGTACATTAAAATGGTACATGTATACAAATTTTTTAAATTGTGTACATTTAACTTTAAGCGGAATTTATTACTCCAGATAAAATAACGTTTTGTAAGCAAGAAGCCATAGTATGTTTTTTCTTTCTCTATCAAAGCAGGTAAATGTTAAAAGAAAAATTTGGGATAAAAAAAGATTTCTTCCCTAAAAATTGTTATTAATCTGCCTTATACTAGAAAACAATCCTTGATACTTATTTTAGCATTTAACATAGTTTTTGTATTTTGATTTCTTATATATCTTGAATTAATCAAACTGTTTATTTTCTAGCGTTTATTGAATTCTTTGCCAACAGAGAGTTTACCAGATGTATGTGCTGCTATTGTAAGAGCTTCTCATTCTGAGCGGCTGCAGATACTTGATGCTGTTGACCTTGCTGAGAGATTTAAAAAAACTCTTCCATTACTTGTAAGGCAAATTGAGGTTTGTATATTTATCATATTAGTGAATTATTTTATTTTCATTTTTCTATGTGATCTTTTTATTTTTATTGTTAATTGTAAAAAGTGTAATAATTTTAAAATTTTAATATTTTTAAGTTTTCCTCAATCTTTGGCAAGTTCTTAGCTTGCATTAATTTGAAATTATGAGCAACTGGAAATAGAATATGCTAGCCATTAAAATGAAATTTGGTTTACATTAATTTGAAATGATGAGCAAGCAGAAATAGAGTATGCTATCTTAAAGTACAGTATGGTATGCATCTATTAAAGTGCTGCATAGCAGAAATAGAGTATGTTATTTATTAAAGCATATATTTACATTGATAATGGAGTATATGTAAAATTAACATATGTTGGACTATATATCAAGAAGTGGTGAGAGTGATTGGTACAAGTAGAACTGGGCGGGACAGCAGAATTTCATCATTGGGTTGTACAATTGTAATCTCGCTGCACTAACTGTGCAGCTTGGTCCCAATTTTGATGAAGACCTGGTCCAAGGGTTCCCACTCCACTTTTGCTATCCTAAAACCACTGAAGATGATTTTGTTTCGGCTTACTAGTATTTTAAATGCCTCCTTTCTTAAAAATTAGAATTTTTTATTCAGAAAGTTTGGAGATATATGTAAATTTAAGTATAAAAATATTTGGTAATGATTTCAAAATTGGTGTAGGATTCAAAGTGATAGTGATGCTAGATTGGAGCATCATTCTATTTCTCCACATGTAGGCTCTTTTTTTTGTGTGTGTATTTACTTTTTAATTCACTTCACAAAATTTAACAGATTTACCAGAATAGTATTTTAATCAAAATAATAATAATAATAATAATAATAAATAAATAAATAAATAAATAAATAAATAAATAAAACTAATAAGTTTTATAAAATTATAATTTTTGTGTGAGAAGGGGAGAGAGGGATTATGGTGACAACACACACACGATGCTATCCATCAATGGGAAGGAGTACCTTTGTGGGAAAACTCTTTAAAAGAAACTGGTATGTATACTGAAGGATTTTTATGGAAAACTGGCATATGTTAATGTTATAAATGGAGAAAGCCATTAAAAAGCAACTCACCTGTTCACCAAGATTCAAAACTAGGTTGAACTTTCAGTGATTTTTTTACCTTTTGGCCACTAGTGAATTTTTGTATTGCATTTTTTTAATGTTATTTAAGAAAAGATGATAATTAACTAAACTTGAAAGTAGGAATTTTATTTACTTCTGTTAATATGTAATCTGCATTTTTTTTCAGAAGTGCTAAATATTGTGCTAATTTTGTTCAAATAAATTTTTGTGCTGGCCTTTTATTGCCTAAATGTACTGCTTAGTTATTGCTTCTAAATAGGTGATATATGTATTAGGAAAAGTAGACTTAGCTAAAAATACAAAGAAAGACAACCTGAATTTGCATAAAATCTATAATGATTTGCATTGTGAAAATATTCAGGCTTCATTTAACTGCACATTTTAATAAATTTATATCTTTTTAAATATAAACATTTCATAGAAATACTTTATTATTCTCCCTCCCCCCAGTTTTGTTAAGTTCTTGGTACTTTTTCTGTTAACTCTTTTCTGATACAAAGTGAAAAATGCTTTGGTTTATTATCTATGAAGAAAGTTTGTGCAAAAGTACTATGATCCTATGTACCCTTAGATAAAAATACTTTTCAAATGCAGTCTGTTATACACAGGAAAAATTAATATTTGATTTTCCAGACCTAATGGGTTGAATATTTTTTTAAAGATGACAAGACATGCGTAGTTCTTACCAGGTTTATAATAGTCATTATGTAAAATAGTATGCTAGAGTTTCTGGGACATATACTGTATCAGTTAAAGGTTAAAATAGTCACCAATTTTTTACGTCGTGTAATTTTTACATACTATTAATTTTGTTCAAACAATATTATATGCTTTTCTAGTATATTAACATTCTTCTGTCCATGCCATTCTGTGATAAGAAAAGAAATTTGGCATTGGAAGAGGAACTTTCAATAATTTTTTTATTTTTAGTTTTATTCAGCAGCAGTAAAGATATAAATAGAGTTTGGCTATTATTTTTACTTACAAAGATAACTTATTTATATGATTTTCCTACATTTTTAAAGTTCAAACATTTTTAATGGCTAACCCTGTTTTGAGTTGTTGATCTGAAGTTTCAAAAACTTAATTTTTCTTTAATTTGCTAAGAAATACTAGTCACTTTCACAGGTGGTCATCGTAGGAAGATGACTGCTATAAGATAAACGTATAATCCCTGTTGACTTGTTTATTTTGTATTGTTTTGCATTATTTTAAATGATATATAATTGAAGGCTGTAATGATAATTATTAATGCAGGAAAATTTTGAGCATAAATACAGAGTCCGCCAGAAAAATTTTTTTGCTGTTTAAGGGGGGGGAACTATACATCATATTTCTTATTACATTTAATTATTATTCCAACATGTGTTACAAACCTTCAAATAAGCATATGTTTGCATTATATTTTCAAAATGTTGGCCGTTGGCAGCTAAACACCTAACAGAAAGACAAGTGGTCAATGTACCAATGGAGACCGATGCACATGTCTGTAATCTTCTGGCAAAGGTTCTTGAGCATGCACGTCTTACTGAGATACATTTCATCTTTCCCAGTTCCGCACAAGAAGTATATGGGGTTAAGATCTGGCAATTGGGGACAGAATTCAGTGGGCCCTCTGCGTCTAGGCCAATGTCCCTGTAGATTGTCATCCAAGAAAGCTTGTACTTCTAGGTGGTAGTGGGATGGGGTCCCCATCCTGTTGGTAGAAGACCTTATCATCTCCAGAAAGTGCATACACCTGGTAGAATTAATGTACGTAACATTTGTCGGTATGCTTCTCCAGTGACAGTACCATAAAAGAAGAAGGGTCCTTTCAAACCCCGAGCTGTAAGTCCACACCAGACTGTAAGCTCTGGTAGATTGAGTGCCTTATCAACATGGACGTGCAGATTTTCCGGTGCCCAGTAGACACAGTTATGTCTATTAACTGTTCCATATAGTTTAAACCGGACCTCATCAGACCATACTACCTTTGTCACAAACTGTTCATCACTGATACCATTCACAAAATTGCATTTGACAGTTGGGACTGTTATAATTAATAGCATGCAATAATAGCAGTATGTAACATTTCCACTTACTGTTTTTCAAAATTCGTTGTAGCTTGTAATGTTAATACCTACCTGCAGTGCACATTGCATAGGAGACTTCTGTGGGGACGTTTCAATTTTTTTTTTTTTTAATGTGAGAGGCAGTGAAGCAGGACTTATTGCTGTAGGCATTCTTCCTGATCTTCCTATGTGAATATCGCAAATTGTTTCATGTGCCTCAAATTTGTCAGTGATGCATTTGATTGTTAGTTGGGTTGGTGGCTCAATACCAAACTCTGCTGCACTTTGATGGCATTCTCAAACATGATAAAACACTGCAAAATGTGCTTATGCTACCTACTCGAACATCAAGCATTCGACACCTGTTGGGCAAAAAGCTATACTACAACATACTTAGTAAATTTCAGAACAGTTGTCAATGCTGGTATTCTAATGTAGGATGACAAAGAGTATATACATTTTTCTGGCAGACTCTGTATAAAAAGAAGTATTTGATGGAGTGCAATAACAGTTTTCACTTATTTATAATCTGTTTTTTGGAAATACATGTCTTATTCATATACAAAATTTAGTTCTTTCTATTTAATGTGGTAGATGTTTAAAAGTATGAAATTTTGTTCACAGATGAAGGAAATTTCAAGAGTATCCTCTAGAAATTGTTCTGACGTCTTAACAATTTTCAAAACGTGCAATTTAAATTGTTGCAAAATGCCCAGTGGTTATGCCAAGATACACGGGGCTAGGGTGGCAGGGTTGCCAAATTTTGCTCAAAATTGCCCATGTGGCGATATTTGATGAAAAATTTTGTGATATGCCATAGATGGAGTAAGAACATTCTAGAACATATTTTTAGTGGTTTTCTTGGGAATATCCTTAAGATAAGTTAAAGCTATATATGCCTTGCTTGTACGTGAAGAAAGTAGTAGCTTGAGTTCAGAGATCAGTTTCAGAGCAATCAACCGAGTTGGGAGCTGTACCTTTTAGTGTTTTGTCATGAAGCTGTCTTCACTGTTACACATGAAAGCTATGTTGTTGATTGTTTCAGCGTGTTTGTCGTAGTTTTTTGAAGGGTATAAACTTGTCTGTGTAACAATGCCTACTGGTGAATAAATTGTGTTTCGATTCTTAATCAAGCGTTGTCATCAGTTACTCCAAACCCACGAACCTGTAGAATGCAACTGTATTTTTTAAAAAAAATTTTAAATTCTGCGTTTAAAATCCAGTGTTAAGAACCTGAGTTTGAATGTTCCAAAAGATTTTATCAGGTTGTCATTCACTGAAGACAATGTATCAAGTCAAATATTTTCTTTCTTTTTTTTTCTTTTTTGTTGTTGTCAAGTTGAAAATTAGCTCCAGGTTTTAAACAGAAATAAATATATATAATAATATGTGTACTTACAGCAGTGCTGTATATAAATGCAATATGCATGCCAGGTTGCACTTTCAAGACATGAAAAATGCAATTTAAAGTTGATTGGTTTGTCGATTATAATCAGAGATATAAAGCTGCCGCCTCCATTTTTTATTCTGCTGGTACAGGTTGAAGGAAGGCCAGCACCTTTACATTGCATATTAGGTATATTAGGCATTGCTGGGCTTTGCTAGCTGCTAAGCTTCTGCCGTGGATGGAATTTTGAGGTAGGAACCTTGAGGTGCAGTTTGAGGATCTCCAATTCATTTTTCCCTACTTCCAACCTCTCAAGAATTTGATGAATGCATACTTTAAAATAATAAATTTGATCATGTAAATTTTTAGTGATAATTATTGTCATTAGAATTTTTGCTTCTGTCTGCTTAACTTGATTTCTCAAATGTGCAATATTAGTTTTTAGTTGGATAAATACTTATACATGATTTTAGGGACTACAGCTTTTACAAAAGGCTAGAAAAGATGAAGTTGGCCCTTTAGATATCACAAAAATCCCTATTCCTAGAAGTAAATTTTATGATGATATGGACAAAGGAGATGAAATTGCTGCACTAGAAAAGAAAGTGAGGTAGTATGAGAAGTTTTGCTAACTGTTTAAAGATTGTCTATATTATGATGCAGTTTCATATTTTGATTCAAATGATCAAAATGATTTTCATTCATCAAATTAATTTTTTAATTATTCCTGATCATTGTCCTTTTTTAAAAATGTTTAATATTTACTCTGAAAACTTAAAGTGGTAAAAAGTGCCTATTTCAAATATACAGTGGCATAAAACTTTTTCAGTTTTGTAATTTAGAAGTAGTCCCAAGAAAAGGATAACTAAAGCTTATTATAATTTTTTAGCTGAGTTGCTTAGTTTAGTTTTTTTTTATGTTGTGCATAAAAGTAGCCATTTTAAAATAAAATAGATAAGAATTATTAAAAAAAGGGAAAGTTATATATGAAAACTATGAACTGTTTGCATAAATAGTAATTTTTTTATTGTGTTATCATATTACAAAATATAAATTATGAAAATTATCTTGGGAAGTAGAATGTTATTAAATATAAGAAACTTTCATGGTATTATACTAAGATTATAAGCCGATTAAATTGCTAAAAATTTTACAAATACAATTGCAGTAGAAAATTTCCGGTGGAAATACATTTTAGATAATTATCTATTTGCTTAATTTCATAATTTAACAATTTTCAATTTAACAATTTAATAGCACATATTTTGCTATGAATATGCTGTAGTAACCTGAGATCAGATCTAAAAATTTTCTCTTTAGATGATGGAATAATTATTTGATTATAAAAGTAAAAGAAACTTATTTTAAGCATTATACATTGTGATTGAAGTCAATTTCTCAAGTGTACAGTTTGAAAACATCTAAAGTATATTATCTATACGACAAATTATTATTATTATTATTATTTTTAAGACTCTTTACTATTTTAAGATAACGTGCCAGTTTTCTGCAGAAAGATACATTATGAAATTTGTACATATATAAATAATTGTAGTGAAATTTTGCTTTTTTTGGGGGGGGGGATGGGGCTATAATGTAGCATGAAAAATCTAAAGAAGTGAAGCTTTGCCAGAAAGTAGGAATACAGGGGCAAGTCTTTTTAACATAAGAAAGTAAGAATACAGGGGCAAGTCTTTTTAACGTAAGAAAGTAAGAATACAGGGGCAAGTCCTTTTGTAGTAAATGGCTATCTTGCTAAATTGGTGAGGTATTGTTTAGCTGGCAATGGTTTTGGCACCTAATATTTTCATCTGATTTGGCATGACATTATGGTCTGATCCCTATATAACTGTAATGGGTATTTGTAATTGAAAAACTAAATGATGTAGCTGTAACTGTATCCAGCCCTCGTTGCTTTCCAGTAGTTTCGAGAAGTACTAGAGATTTCTCGTAGCTTTGGAAAATCTATATAAGACTAGAGAGCATCAGTTTCAGAGTAGTAGTTGTTTAATTCCGCGTGGATTCAGAGAGTATTGAGATATCACCGAGTTAGCTTCACTCTTTACATGTACATTACGAAAAAAAAAAAAAAAAAAAAAAAAAAAAAAAAAAGAAAGAAAAAAAGGGGGGACAGTTTTATGTCTCTTGTTCTACTGGGCCGATTGATGAAATTCAACTTGTGTTTTTCATGTCTCGAAAGCGCGACTTAGGATATGTATTAGATTTATATATAGCACTGTTCTAACATAGGTATTTTTACACAAAATCTGACTTTCTCTGAAATGACATGCCAATTTTTTTTCCATATTTTGATTCTACAACTCAAATAACGCCAAACTGCCAAGTTTTGTACAAATTGCATGAGTACTTTTAAAAAATTAGCTCTCAAAGTTTTAGCTCCTCAATGTTAATTCAATTTGGTATGTATTTATTAATATCTCTTTTTTTTTATCAAACTTATTTGATTCTTTCTACACAGTTAGAAATTTAGGTTCATTCCAAATAAAATTTGCCCATTTTTAAAGATTTATTTTTTAAAATTTATATTTTTAAATAATTTTTCTAAATTTTTGGAAAAAATTTTGAGTTTCAACCTATAAATTTTTTTTAATCATCTTAAAGTAGATGTATTTTTAAGCATATATTTTTAAGCATACCTGCAAAAAATTACAGCTTTTTATTCAAAATTTTCGAAGATACAGTGCAAAGTCCATAATGCGGACTCGTCAGGACTTCGGCGATTACAGATTAGGGTTTTTTCCAATTATAGATCATCAATTTAAATCTTGTGAGATGGCATGCAGGAATTATACAATTAAAAATATGAAACCGTAATTTATGAGATAAAAAGCAATTATGAGCTAAAGGATATCAAAATTTAAAAAAAAAAAAAAAAAAAAAAAAAAAAAAAAAAACTTAATATTTATTTGTTTATTTTATTAAAAATTTCTTTGAATGCAAGTTGTTTACGTTGCTTCGTTTATTGTGCTAATACTTTCTCTTTAATTCTATAAACAGACATAATTTCTTGTTCAGTTACAAAGTTCCACTCAAGTCCTTTAATTGCTGTGTTGAAAATACCGACTAACTTGTCAATCGAAATTTTTTCAGTTTCAAAAACCTCTCTGTCACTTTCTTCACTATCGGAAGCGGACATCAAAACATGCTTTTGCTTTGTAGATCCTTTGGCAGCTCCAGAATTGGAAACTCTTTTTGACATAATCGAAAGTTCAAGCTTAATTTTTATAAAATTGCTCTAACAATCTGCAAAAAATAATAAGCCAAATCCAATTAGAAGATTAAGGAACAGTGCAATCTGCAACAAATGTTTTAGAATCAGTAAAGATAATTTTAGCCTAGCTTATACCATCCGTTATACATTAAACGCGCATGCGTAACGCATTATGCACATGCATAAAACATACAACAAAAAAGCTTGTGTCTTTGAGGTCCGGATTATAAATCATTCCAGGTAATGGATGTCCAGATTATGGACTTTGTACTGTATACATGAATTTATATATTGGCGCATTTTTAAATTTGGCATATTTGTTGAAAGCGATAATAACGAAAATGTGGTTTACACAGTTTGTTAAAATTATTTTCAGTAGCAATGATGTGACTTTTTTTTCCACTCATTTACAATGTAAAAAGATAGAAAAAAGTAAAACATAAAAAGGTGGAGATATAGCCTGAACGGAAAAAATCCGTTCCGCCATATTGGAAGGGTAAGGAAAATAGGTTGCCATATATTAAAAAGTTCGCCAAGTGAACTATTCTTGGCGCAAACTGGAAAAATTACGCCAAGATATAATGTTGAATTTCTCCATAAATTTTGCACGAAATTTTACAAAATTTAATATCTAAGCATAATTTGAGTCATAGAATCGAAATATGGAAAAAAATTGGTATGTTATTTCAGAAAAATTCTGATTTTTTATCAAAATAGCTATGTTAGAACAACGCTATATATAAATCTAATATATATCTTAAATCGTGCTTTCAAGACATGAAAAACACAATTTAAATTTTGTCAATCGGCTCAGTAGAACGGGAGATACAGAACTGTCCCTCCCCCCCTTTTTTTTTTTTGTGCAATGTACATTGCATTACATCGAATTTAACTACTGATTGTACTCTGTGTTACTGTGAAGAGCCGTATGAGTATTTTTGTGGAAACGGCCAGAACCATGATGCGTTTCTTTTGGTAAATTTTATCAAGCTACCAGCTATCATCAGTTCTGTGTGCATTCAGTGTATTAGAAACTCGTACTCCCACATTAGATATATGCATCAAGGTAACCTATTGGCCATCATTAAAGTTCCTTTTTTTTTAATATATTCTATAAGCCCCCCTTTTTTTTTCAAAAATAAGTATTCTGAATAAAAAGTATTAAAAGTATTCCAATCGCTTTCATTCTTTGTTTATTCAAATAACTAATGTAAAAGAAATAATTTACTTGTTTGGGAAAATTTGAACTTCAGTGAAAATGAACTGAAGATGAAATATATTTTCTTGCTAGAAGTATCAACTTGACGCATATATTTTTTTTGGAAAAAACTGTTGCATGCATGTGCCAGGGTTCGTACGGTCCTTAAAAGTCCTTAATTTTTTCAAAAATGATTTTTGGTCCTTAAAAGTCCTTAATTTTGGCCAAAATGAATAAACGGTCCTTAATTTTGCTCATTTGACATTTCTTATCATTTCTAATGATTGCCATTCTATGTGTGAATTGCGATTTCTCATGAATATGGAATTAAAATTGCACGGCTCTTAACCAATCTGTTGGCGGATTTGCGTTGCAAACGATAAAAAAAAAAAAAAAAAAAAAAAAAAAAAAAAAATTAGCTACCCGAACGAAAGTATCGGTGTCTGATTGGCTATTCACCCAATCTTTCGAAACAGGTGTTATCCATAAATTTAGGCAGATTGTGACGAAAGCGTGAAGCCGGAAGTTCTTTAAGAGGCGAAAGTGATGATGAAGGTGATGATGAAGGGTTCGAGAAAAAAAAAGGGGGGATTCTGAAAATATTTGCCAAAATTAGAGCAATTCCCAACCTGGAAGGCCACAACCCTTCCGACGCCAATAGGAACGAGATGCCTGGAAAGTGCATTTTCAATAAACTGTGGCTTCATCAAGCTGACTACAAAGACTGGATATTGATGGATGACAATCCTTATAAAGCTAAATGTGGTCTTTGTCTGAAACAAATTGAAATTTCTATAATGGGAGAGTCAGCGCTGAAAATTCACATGAAAATTAAGTTTCGTTTTATCATTTCAATTTGTTTTTACACGGTTTTGCTTAGCTTAATTTCTGTGTTTGTTTCAATTAAGCCATAAATTAATTTTTTTATCACCTTCTACGGAGTTTATTCTCTTTTGCACATACTATATGTATGGGATATCGGGATTATGAGTTTATTTCTGCAGAGGGTCTGTTATCGATTTCGCGGGAAATCTGTTGGCTCCATTTCGATTTTAGGTCGCCAAGGGCAAATTCGGTAACGTTAGCCGAGAAAAAGTGAAGTTCGGAAATACGTTTTGAAGCTTCAATAGACAATTAAGTATTTGGTTTAATCCTGTGCTGTTGATAGTAATGCATTATT